GAAAGAGAAAGGAAATCCTTCAGAAGGAAAATAAAAAGAGTAAGAAAATTTTTTTGGGTAATAACATGAAAATATCAGTCCTCCATTTTGACTTATAGAAGATCCAGAAAGAAGAGAGAAAATGGAGAAAAGGAAAACTATCAAGGGAAAATAAAAGATTTTTTTTCAGAACTGAGGGATCAAAATCCTCAGAATGGTGAGGCCATCAAGTGTATAGCCCTGTGAATAAAAACGACTCACACCAAGGCACCTTGTGGAATTCTAAAACTTTTTTTGGAAAAATATCCTAAAAGTTTAGAAAGCACAACAGGTTACAAAGTATTTTTTTTTAAGATGGATATCTCAATAGCACTGCTGATCTCTAGAAGCTAGTGGAGCTTTTTTTGAAAAACCTTAATGGGAAAGTAGATTCCAGCCCAGACTTCTGTACCCAAACTGTTAGTTAAGAGTGAGAACAATGACACTTTTAGGAACGCACAGACTCAAATGACTTCCAGGGCATGTGTTTCCTAGGGAGCCACTAAAGGATGCACTCCAGCATAATGTGGAAGAAACCAAGAAAGAGAAAACACCAGCCTTAGATAGCAGTGGGAGAAGAACCCAGGCATGGAAAGCGGCCAGACCAGGGTTTGAGAAAGGGTGCAGAAAGCTCCTTTTTTTATGTCTCTAGTGGAGAAAAAAAAAAAAAACAGAACTAATATATTTAGGTTTTTTTGATATTTATCGATGGGCATAGAATAGAGATGTTAGAGCATATGAAATAAATTAGTGATGGGTTCACATACAACCAGACACATGAAGAAAAAAAATTGAGGACACAATTAACTCCAGGAAAAAGAAAAGATCACGTGAAAAAGAAAGCATAGTCACAGTGCATTACTTGACCCAGCATTGAGCAACATTTGCAAAGTTGCAATAACACAAACACTTTTTTTTGATTTGCTTAGAATGACACTGTGACCATTGGGGACACTAAGAAAGAGGAAGGAAGCAATGTGTATGGGAATGTGAAGCCTTTATTTCCCATGGTAGGAAATCTTTTTTTATATCCCAAATTGATAAGAAAAGGTAGTATACGCATACCCTGTCAATAAATGCTGGGCATTACTGTTTTCGGCAGCATTTTTTCAAAAGACATACACGTGTTTTTTTTTTGCTGTACCTTCACATGCCCTCTCCATGGAAGGCGAGGGCCCAGCCCGGTGGCATTCGGAAATAGAGGCAACAGTTCCCCAGTCACTGTTTTCAGGCATGGAGACTATCCCAGTGCTGGTCCCGCACACTTTTCAGATATGGGAAATTAAATTCCTCTCTTCATTTACACAGTCGTGGAGAAGGAGCCAAGTCTTGTCTTTGAAACTGCTTTTCTCCCAGATTGCTTCCACAGATTGAAACAGGAGAAAAGAGCAGACTGACATTCAGGATACAAACTTTCTCACTGGACTGGTGTGTTACCTCCTAATTACTTCCCTGCCTGGAGGATCTTTAAAAATGATCACAAGACAAAGGCATTTCTTAGTAAACTCTACATGCTTTTTTTATGAGTTTTGGAGGGCAAGGGAAGGTTGTGTTGGATATCTGTTTCCTTTTTTTTTTTGCAACCACTGGAGAAATTATGGGGAACAAAGGGAAAAAAAGAGCCATTTTTTTAAATGAATTCCTTTTACACGAGTTGAAAAACCACAGGACATGCTCCATTTTTTTTGCACACCAGGTGTGATCGGAGATTACGGATCCACACAGGAGAGTGGAGTTTTTTTTAAAATTTGTGCTCCTACTTCCAGAAAGAAATGTCTTTCCGTTTGATAAAGCAGGCTGTCTTTGGAGTGCTGTTTGTGCTTTTCTGTCCTCACTGGAGTGTCACAGAAAAGCAGATCAAAGGGAACCCCCACCCGGATAGGTTTTCTACCACCTTTCTTTTTTTTTGGACTTGAAAGCCTCTTCCCCTGACTGCATGGGGCTCATGTTATATGTTTTTTTTGCCGTCTGCGTACGGTATTGGTAATATGCAAACGGGCTTTGATAGATGCTTATGGAAAACCACATTTACCATTAATTAAATCAAGACCACCCCAAACACCGCTTTTTTTAGAGGCTGGCCAGGGTTGCCGCCTCACCCCCTACCATTTGTATTTTACTTTTTTTTTCGCCACGTGACGGCCAGATACTAACACTTGAGACTGAACCTTCAGTTCTCTCAAGCAGGATTATGTTTTGTTGTGTTTTCTCTTTTCCTTTGAGTTCTTTGTTTTTTTGCACCCTCTGGCTGACATCCCCTACCCTGAGGGGAAAACCTGTTTGGGAGAAAGCCTGCTGTCTTTCTCTTTAAGATAGTGACAAAACGAAATAAAATAGAGCTTTTTTTAGGCAGCCTGGGTGAGGCCCACGTGAGCAGGCAGGTCAGGCTGCAGCGGACGCTGTCCATTGTCTCGCTGCTCTGGGTGCCCGCGGAGAAAACCCAGCCGGGCCACAGGCACTAATAAAAGGACTCCATTCTGCCACTCAGGGCTTTGTGAGGCGCCAAAGCTTGTCCTAGTTGCCATGGCTACTGTCTGATTGTGGCGGGTTTGTCACAGTGTTTTTTTAAGTGGGAAGGTTATTCTTGATAGGCCCAAGTAATCATAACCTCGCAATTTTTTTGAGTGTGGATTTAACACTTTTTTCCTTCCTTCTTGAAATGGGGAATGCTTTTTTTGGGGCTGGGTTGTCAGGATAAAGCAGCCCCAGCAGGTGGTGAGGCCAGGCCCAGCACGAAGGATACCTCACGCTGGTGTGGAAGGGAGTTGCCCTTGTGGCTAGGGGGCTGGACAGATAGGGGTGTCCCTTGGGTCATCTGCCGTCCCTAGGCCTGAGTTTTTTTTTCAGAGAAAGGGTCAGAATGGGGGCCCCTCCTGACCCTACCATCAAGTTTTTTTACTTGTATGGCTCTCTCCTTTCCTCCTTTCCCTTCCTGCTCCCGCCTCTTTTTTTAAGGCTTCCTTTCCTTCCTGCCTTCCTTTTATTAAGGCTTCCCTCTTTTTTTTTTCGGTCCGTTCCCTTCCCTTACCCCTCCCTCTCCCCAGTTCCCTCACAGTTTTTTTCTCTTTCCCTGCTCAGATGGAGAAGGATGGGCAAGGTTAGCTCTGAGGTTTTTTTCCTGATGGAATTTGGCCACAGAATTGGACTCTTCTGTCATCAGAAGTTTTTTTTTTAACTGAGGGGCACCTGAGTCGAGCATCCGACTCTTGGCTTTGGCTCGTTTTTTTACCTCAGGGTCATAAGCTGGAGCCCCGCGTCTGGCTCTGGGCTGCGCACGGATCTGCTTAAGACTCTCTTTCTCTCTCCCCCAGTCCCGCCCTGCCGGCCCTCTTTTTTTTAAATATATATGTCTTGAAAGAGAGAAGAGACCTAATTGATTACCCAGTTTTTTTTTCTCCGATGTGTGCATCAGACAGAACTACTGAGAAGGTTCTTTCAAATTTTTTTAGGGCCCACCCACAAGGTTTCTGATCTGGTAGGTCTCGGCAGGGTCCCTTTTTTTTGCATTTCTAACAAGCCCCCAGGTGATGCCAGTGCTGCTGGCTGGGGGACCGCACTTTGAGAACCACTGTCAGAGGCCAAGGCTTATTTTTTACAGTTGAGGATTTTTTTTCCCCAAGGATGAATTACTTGCCAGGAGTTCAGGCGACTTGGTAGCCATTTTTTTAGGGGTGCCCAGCGATAGGGGTTTTAAAAGCCATTTGAAGCGGGCAGGCTCATCTCTCTTCCAGCCCCCTAGCCCAGAGCAGCCAGGTGAGCTGGTTCTATTCCCAAAAAGCCTCTAGCAGCACAACCACTCACACCTCTGGTCACCCTGTGAGCAGTGCCACTCCCAAGTGAAGCCCACCTTCCTTGGTGCTCTGGGCCCAGTGTGATCTTATTTTTTTCGTGCTGGGGTTCTCCCCCTGGAATGCCCCTTCCCTAGATCCACCTGTTTTTTTTTTGCCCAGCCCTTGGGCCCCAGGAAGCCTGCCTTGACCACGGCTGGCATCCTTCCTCTTCTGCTGACCTTCGAAGCCTCGTGGCCCTGCCCCTAGGCCGTTTTTTTTTTTCGTTACTTTCATGTCTGCGCTATTGCCCCTGCTGGCTGTGAACTCTAGTTTTTTTACTGTGCCTTCCTTCACCTTTGTATCCACCACTGCAAAACACTCGCTGTTTTTTTTTGGTTGGAAGGGATCTGGACACTTGTTGGAGATTTTCTGTAGTTCTGAAGCCAACCTCATAGAGATGGGGAATCCGTAGACAGCGGGCAGGGTGGGGGCTGTACCTCCAGCATCCGCCAGGAGCCCCGAGGAAGAAATGAGGCCCGCTGCAGGGAGAGAGCATGACACGGAACCCGGGGCAGTGGCCTCACAGTACGGTGCCCTCCCGTGGGTTTTTTTACTGAATTTCTAAATTGAAAGGCACGTCAGAGCCCCCGGCACACACGCTTTTTTTGATTTGAAATAAAACACAGGCAGCACTCATTAGCGCGTTTGTGTCAGGTTTTTTTACACAGAAGTGAAGCTCCCCGTGTGTGTGTGTGTGTGCGCGCGCGCGCTTTTTTTAGCGTGCACATGTCTGTCTTGCTGCCATGGCTGGATGCGAACAACGTGTTTTTTTTTGGAAATGTAATCTAACTCCCCACCACACGCTCTGAAATCATCAGTGTGTGTTGTCATCCGCCCTGAAAGCAGCTCTGAGGCCATGTGATTGTGCTTCTCCATTTTTTTTCACAGGAGGCTATTTGTCCACACAAGAATATCAAATTAATGCATTAATCCTTTGGCTCTAATTCCTTGCCGACTGCACAGCCTGAGTCCGGGCCCAGAAAGAAATCCCACGTTGGCAGTTTGGCTCTGAAGTCTGTGAGCGTCAGAGGAGCGGGACCTCCGGGCTGCAGGGCGCGCCCCGCCTCTTTCCTGCTCTGTCGCCTCGGCCCAGTCCCCCCTCGGTGTTGACTTGGGGCAGCCGCAGCCCTCACAGTGGCCTTTCTCCCCCAGGGTGTCGAGGTGCAGACCGACTACGTGCCCCTGCTGAACTCCCTGGCGGCCTATTTTTTTCAGCTCACCTGTGTGCTACCAACGCCCGTCGTCAAGACTACCAGGTAATTTTTTTAGGCATCATCAGCAACATCGTTATGCAACACCTGCTCTGTGCTGCACATTTTTTTCACGTAATTTATTTAGTCCTGTAACAAGCCTCTGAGGCTGGAGTGCTTTTTTTTTTTTCCAGCTGGAAAGTAGCGGAGCTGGGATTTCAGATTCTTAACCACCTTTTTTTAGGGGACTCCACGGGGGGTAGTCTTCCCACATGGGGAGCCTTGGCCAGTGAATCGTGACTGCCAGGCATGTCGAAGATGAGCCTCCTAGGTTGAGGGGGTCCATTTTTTTCAGGTACAAAAGAAATTGAGCCCCTCCTATGTGCTCTGTGCTGGCCTGGGTAGGTACCTTGCATGTAAAATTTCATTTAGTCCTCGAAAAAAATCCTACAAGGTGGAATCTTTTCAATAAACCTATTTTACAGCTGAGGAACATATGGCCAGGGAGGTTTTTTTTGTCACCCAAGATCACGGCCCTGGTCAGTAGTCCCACAAAGAGGATGTATTTTTTTGCAGTCTTGGCCCTGGCTTGTGGCACTCCTTATGGTTTCACATTTAGGGGCGTTTGTCCACCTTAGCTCGGCCCACCATCCCTTGGCCTCGTGGGCGTGTCCCTTTTTTTCCAACCCTGAAAGGCCTTGCATCTGTATTTCGGGTTTATCTAAACGAATTTTTTTAACTATGCTGTGGGGTTATGAGCACAGATATGAATTCCCATTTTATAGTTTTTTTAACTGAGGCTCAGAGAGGCTCTGTCACATAGCTGAGGCCACACAGCCAATAAGTGGCAGAACTGGGAATAGAACCTCAGTCTCCAGAGTCAGGTGCTCCTCCCACGCAGGCAGCCTCCTCACTGACCTTCAGGGATGCCCCCTGGCATGGCCCCCTGTTTTTTTTTTTCCCCGAGTCCTCTTGCATGCTCACCATTGCAGGGTGATGGCCAGCATGAGGCGAGACTGGTGATCTGGGGGAACAGCAGGGTGGTGCAGCCGCAGAGCCCAGACAGGGTGGAGAATGATGGGGACGATCCGTGCCTTCCTGGGTCCCTCCATGAGGCCGTCTGGGCTCTCAAGGGTCTCCCTCCTGACACTGGGCCACAGTGGGTCTGCACACTACCGGCACCAGTCTGCATCCACCTTTGGCCCCGGGCCATTGGGAGCCTCCATTTTTTTTCATAGCTGAGACTTCTGTGGGTATGGGGTGATGCGGAGGGGTGGAAATTTTTTTGGATTTGGGACCTGCAGACTTGAACCCAAGTCCAGACCCTTCCACTTGTTTTTTTTCCGTCCTGGTCAAGTCCTATAGCTTCTCTGAAGCCGTTTCCTTGTCCTTTTTTTGGAAGAATGCCTGCTCCATGACTCACTCCCAAGGACAAGAGTCACGATTTTTTTTGATTTGAATGTGAAGCCCCAGCTCATTTTGAGCTCTCTAAACCCAGAGTTTTTTTACAGGTGTCTTTGTCTCCCTCTCAGATCTCATACCGGCTCAGTAATTCCCTCTTACCCTCCGCTTCCCCGTGCCATGCACGCCGCCTGGGGGTGGAGTGGAGATTTTTTTGAACCAGGCAGATCTGAGCTCGAATCCTCACCGTGTGATCCCAGGCCCGCTCCTTAAATGACCTTCTGTCTCTTGTCTTTACAGACAGGCCATGGTCCCACTCTTTTTTTCTCTGTGGTTGAGGCTTAAATGAGCCATGATGTGTGAAATCACCCAGCTTTTTTTCAGCACAAAATATGTTCATTTTCTCCCCCCCCCCGTGCTTTCCCTCTGTTTTTTTTTGCAGTGGCGCTTGCCTCAGCAGAGAAGACACTGATCTCCTTCACAATTTTTTTTGCCATCTTTAAAGGCAGCTCTGTGGGGGCCAAGGGGAAAGCGCACTCACTGTGCCAGAAAAATGAGCCCGCTCCTGAGCTCCCCTCCCCTGTGCCTGGAGGAGCCGGGCTGCCTTGGGGCCCCGTGAGGGTGGCCACACCCCAGTGCTCAGCCAGCCTTCTGCAGAGGCCGGTGGGCAGGCTCCCCACCTATGCTGGGCCCATCTGACCTCTTTTTTTTGCATTACCAAAGACAGATTTGGAAGAGGCCTTCCACCTCTTGAGATTCTTTTTTTAAGCCAGTTTATCATCATTTGGCCAAGATGCCAGCTATTATTTCACATTTTTTTTAAGGGGAGCTTCCAGCTATGAAGCTGGCTTGGCAGAGATGCCCACAAAGCTTTGGTTGAGCCCCTAGCAGAGCCCTTGGAAGGTAAGGGCGGGGATGGCCTGGTTTTTTTGAAGTGCTTCTTGATTTCTGACCTCTCACTGTTTAGTGGCAGCTTCCTTTCTGTGGGTGCTCAGCCTCAGCAGCCTTTGGGATGGACACATCGGCAAGGTTTGTTTTTTTCCCGGGGGTAACGGCTCATTCTCAGCTCCGTATGTGTTACAGGGAGGGGAATGTATCCACCAAGCAGATTGTCTTTCTTCAGAGACCGTGCCTACCTCAGAAATTTTTTTAGAAGGAATCAAAGGTAAGCGACCTTGATGGCCTTCCTCAGTTTTCTTTTTTTTTCTCCATCTGCAGCTGGATTTTCTATAGCAGTTGAGTGGGCAGCCAGCTTTTTTTTCCAAGGGCTCTCAGAGGAACACCTGAGCCCCTTGGCAAACGGAATCACACCCGAGGCTGCCGAAAACAGATGGGGGCGCTGGGGTGTCTTGTCTGCCAGACCAGAGAGCAGAGTAGAACCGTTCTGTCGGACACTCACGTAGACCAAATATCCCCACTTTTTTTTAAATAGGGGCATGAAGTCAGCTGCCCTCTGTCCCGGGGGTGCGATGGCTTTTTTTCGTGCCCAGCTTCTCTGTGTCTTAATCTCATGATAAGCTCTGGTTGCATTTTTTTGGATCCCTCGGGACATCAGAAGTTTGGTACAGAGACCCTACCAGACCTCCTTCTTGGCATGCCCTGACCCGAAGGCCTCTCGGTGACAGTGGCTGGTGTGGACGGAGGCCAGGCTGCCCTGGGGGGTGCTGGGGGCCTTCCTCCCCTCGCTGGACGGCACACGACCAGGCTTGGAAAACACAGTCGTGCCGAGAGACTGTGGCCCGCTCTGAGTTTTTTTCCCACATTTCCGGAAGTCAAACCCAAGTCCTTCCCTTGCGTCAGATGACTTTGCAGCTGGTGGGTGATTCTCCTGTGGGCGAGTCACCATTTGCTCGGGAAGAGATGAGGGAGTCTGGGGAACTTGCGAAAGCCCAAGTCAGGTGTCACCTGAAGCCAGCCTGAGCCTCCTTTGATGGCCAAGGCAGCGCTCTCTGGCAGAGCCTGATGCACCTGCTCCTCTCCTCACGCTTGGCCCCTCCCCATGCTCCCCTCTTAGCTCCTCATGTTTTTTTTACACAGAACCTGGACAGGAGCAACAAGCAAGTGAACAGATTGTAGCAGTTTTTTTCCAGCCGGCAAACCCAGGGGGTTATGGGGCGGGGGGGCTCCTGGGAGGAACGCCAAGGAGATGGCAACCTGAAGCCAGATGGTGTAGAATGCAGAGGAAGGTGTTTTTTTCAGCTCCAAGACGCTAATGTGACAGGTGCCAGCAGCAGAGGGCCAGAAGGCAACCGCTGAAGTCACCATTAACCATCAGGGGCAGTCAGCGGCCGGCTGGAAGATGGATCTTCCCCGGACCACTGTTAGTGGCAGCTTGGCCCTAGGCTCCTGGGGACTGCGTGCATTCACCGTGACATTCAGCAACAGCACTGGCCAGGCTGCCCTCAGACGTTTTTTTACAGCAGCTCTGCCTTTACTAAAGAGAAGGAGGCCGTGCTGACGTGGCTTTTTTTTTTGGTCTGAAGGCTGTGCGGCTACCGGAGGGGGACAAGCAGGAGATCTTTTTTTTAGTGTTTTCAAGCTGCTGTAAGGAGGTGGACCGACTTCCCTCGGGGATTTTTTTAGGATGGGGTCGTCTGTTTGCTGATCAGTAGACCCTTCCAACTGCAATTTTTTTTACTAAAGCGGGTGGCTGCTTTCTCCTTATTTATCTCCTGCTCATTCACTTTTTTTGCTCCTGTCGAGCACAGGTTTCCTGTGTGACCTGGAGAGGTCACCTCGCTCACTGGTGGAGTCCCAGAGAGGGGGACTTCACAGCCAGATGGCTTGTCTCCCTTTTTTTTCTGGCCGATGGCTCTGCCGCTGACTCAGGTTGGCAGCCTGCTCCCACGAGCTGTGGGTACCCCGGTGGCCGTGGCAACGACTCCGTCAAGTCCTCCCCGTGCCTTTTTTTCCGCAGGACTGACACTGTTGACCGCCCTCTGCCTCCTGAAGCACCTCTTTTTTTTGGCTCTGGCCCCACACTGTCCTGGTTTTCCAGCAGGTTGTTCAGACCCAGCCCCATTTCTCTCTCACTCTCCCGCCTCTTCCCTAGAAAATCTCATTCATCCCTTTTTTTAGACATCTGACCACCTGAATTGATGACTCCCACACTTGCATTTTCAGTTTTTTTTACCCAGAACAAGGGCGGCACCCCCATCCAGAGGCACCCACCCACCCAGGGCTCACCCTTGACTCCCCGTCTCCTCACTGCCACGGTCACTCTATCCTCAAGAGTTTTTTTTTTTAGGTCCTAGGAGCTTGCATCCCTCCACTTCTCGCCACCATCCCGTTTTTTTACAACTCTAATCCTCTGGTAACAGGTCTCCCCTTCAAATATGTTCTCCACCAGGAACCAAGGGAATCTTTTACAAAAGCACACTGAATCATATCACCCCGCGGTTTTTTTTGGTTCTAAAGCGTTGTGTGGTTCTTAAGATAAAGATGGGAGTCTGCGTTTTTTTCCCGGGGCCAGGTGTGGTCTGGCGCCTCTTGACTCTTCTGCCACCGGCCCCATTTTCTGCATTCCAGCTACTTCTGTGTCCCTTCTTGCCGCAGGGCCTTTGCTCTGGTTGTGCCCTCTGCCTCAGACACTCTCTTCCTTTCCATTTGTATGTATGAGTTTTTTTACGTGTGAGCCCAGGACATTCGTATTATGTCTGGATTGAAATCTAAGATTTTTTTCCGCAAGGCTGGACCCAAGGACACAGCATGTTGAGGCCTCTTTTAATCTTTTTTTTGGAGAAAATTCTCCCATCAAGACTTCTCAGCATTTGAAAGAAACCTCTTTTTTTGCACGTGAGGGGGCTTTCAAAGCAAATAATTAAACTCCTTCCAGCTACTTTTTTTGAAGTGGAGGCAGGTAACGGACAGTTTTTAAAATGTGGGAATTAAATCTTTTTTTCCTTGCGGACATGACACTCTGGACCCACACAGCTGTCGAGGGAAGGATTTTTTTTTTTTCCACACTTCTTTCTGACGTGGACGGCTAGTGGGAAGCTTTCCTGGTGTGGGCGCCAGCGGCACACCCAGCGGCCACAGACACGCTGGCTGGGGAAGGCCCCGGCATTGGTGCGGGCTGCCTCATTTGTTCGGAGGCTCTCCCTGGTCCCGCTCCTTTTTTTGCATCTCCTCCTCCCGTCCTCCCCTCCTCTCGGCTGGGCCGCCTGCCTTTAAGCCTGTGGATGTTACAGACCTCCCCTCGGAGCCTCAGCCCCAAAAGCTGTCACGGTCCCAGGGGTGGCCGTGTCCCTGCGTCCCCTCATCTTGCTTTCTGAGACGTTTTTTTTTCGTTGAGCCTTGGGACCTGGAACAATTGTTGTTGTTTGTTAAAACCCTTTTTTTTCCTCCATTTACAGGCGGAGGAGAAGGGCGCGGTGAAGGGACTGGGTGTTTTTTTGGGAGGGAGGCAAGAAAGCCCCTCCATGAGGGGCAGAGCGGGGGGGGGTTTTTTTGGGAGGGCAAGGGGTGTCTTTCTCTTAGCTCAGTGCTTCTCAGACTGGGGCCCGTGGACTAGCAGTATGGGCCTTACCTGGGAGTTTGTTAAAAATGCAAATTTTTTTTTCCCTCCCCAGGTTGCACTGAGTCAGAAACTCTGGGACAGGGTGAGTGATGTGTTTCAGGAGCCCTCCGGATGATTGTGATGCCCACTCAAGTCTGAGGGCCAGTGTCTTCATTAAATAGTGTAGGGTCCTTTCTTGGCTCACCTGTGGACTGCCGTTCTTTTTTTTTGATTTTTTTTTTTTTAAATAGGCCTGTCAGGGAGGCTTCAGTGTAGATCTTTTTTTTAAATAAGCCAAACCAAAGTATCTTTAATGGCAGTTAAATCTGGATTTCCATTAGCTGACCACTTGGCCTAGCATCTTCACATCATACAGTCTGAAAGGTTTTTTTTTTATGTGTTGCGCTGAGCCCTTCCAAAGGTGCCTGGCCTCTCCCCTAGTTTCCTCTCTTCCCTTGCCGCTAGGGCGAGAGCCTAAAGCCTTTCGTCCACCAAGTTTTTTTTTGTGTGGAGCCAGAGACACCTGTGTCTGAATTCCAGCATGCTCTTTTTTTTTTTTGTGACTTTGGGCAAATTACTCAACCTCTCTGAACCTCTATGCGCTCATTTTTTTAATCATGGTGACCATGACTAGTGAGAGTACTGCTTTGGAGATTCAGGGTTTTTTTAGACCTTGCCACAGTGTGAGAGACATGGTAGGCACCTTGGTGTGGGCTTGTTCCTTCCCAGGCAGGTACCTGCAGGCAGTCTGCCTTCACACGTTGGAACATTTTGCTTCCAGATGATACAGACCCTGGGTTTGGGCCCCCGCTGCTTCCCTGCTTCAGGAGAATGCCTCTGCAAGAGAGAGGAGGAGGAAAAGGGAGAGTTGAGTCAGGGCCTCCTCAGTACTTGGCTGCAGCACCCGTGACAGCTGTGGGGGGATTGGGGGCCCCCTTTTTTTCAGGGGGAGTGAGTGACGTCACCATGGCCCCTCTGAGGAACAGAAGACTTTTTTTTCCTAGAAAGCATGTGGCTTGACAGATTTCCCTGTGGTGACTAAGAAGTTTTTTTAACGTTGCCCGGGATCATTTCCACCAGCTCGGTGCTCACAGCCCCAAATCCTCTGCCCGGCAGCCTGGCTGGTCCCTGGAGAAAGTGGCTGGTGTGTTCTCCTTTTTTTTAATGTGGTCTTCTGCATGAAACTAGAGATGGCTGGGCTTCCAGAGGACGCACGGAAGTTCTGCTTCGTTAGCAAGAGCAGTCCCTGAGAGACGAGCTGGGTTTTTTTTTTAAATAGGAGTCCAGGATAGAATCGGGCACAGGCCGACTCGTCCACGGTTGTACACCGCCCAACCACAGGGGGCGCTCTCTGCACCCGCGACAGCAGGAACGGGTTTTTTTGGAGCAGCACCGCCCTGGGGGCAGACGCCTATTGGAGAGATGAGGAATTTTTTTTTTGGAGAGATTAGTAACTTGCCCAAGGACGGACCGCTAACTTCCCTCTTTTTTTTTTTGAGCTTCCAACACCCATGCCCTGAGTTCCAACCACGGGATCCCGGTTTTTTTAAGGCGATGCCTCAGATCCCTTAGCAGAGGCTGCCAGGCGGGCATCTCGAGGCCCCATACCGTCCGGGCGGGACACTGCCTTTGGACCTCAGCACCGCTGCTGCCGCCCCCAACAGCAACGTCTATGGCGCGTGGGCACCGCCCGATCACGGGGCCTCTTTTTTTCCCGTCTCACCTCATAGCTTCAACATGACCCGTTCTTGCCCAGCTCCATTTTTTTCTGGGCAACCTTGTCCTCACTGAGCCTCTGTTGACCTCCCTGTCCCATTTTTTTTTGCTTAGTTGCCGGGCAGCTCCCCAGGAAGCAGCCTCGGATAGGTTTGGGTGGAGGACATTTTTAGGGGCAGTGCCCCCGGGAACACCTGTGGGGAGAGGAGGTTTTTTTAGGGGGCAGGGGGAGAAGCTGGGCTGTGAGGCAGTCACAGCAGTGGCTTTTTTTTCCAGCCCCCCCCCCCCCCGGGGGAGCACTGGAGCACGGATGGCCATTTTTTTTTTCCTGAGTTGGGACAGGGGGGTGGGGCACGCGGCACAGCGCCGGCCCCAGGTTCTGTGGCCTTCTAACTCCGGTCATCTGGTAAGAGAATGCAGGCCCGGGGCTTGGTAACCCGCAGCCCGCTCAGAATGGAAGCGAGTAGCCAGCGCCGTGGCTCTTACGAGGGGCAGGCCTCGCGTCTTTTCTCCCATCCTGCTTCTCCAAGTGATAGGATGTCAGGACCTCCTTTCCCAGAGCCAATTCCCATTTCAGACATACTCCCTCGTCCCCTTTTTTTCCTGAACTTCACATCTAAGATACACCTCACGGAAGGCATCGGGCAGGCTTTTTTTGTGGGTGTGATGTGTTTGGGCCATGATTCAAGTTTGGTGCTGGTAATGCTCTGCTCCAGGAACACTGGGAATTGTGGGTCTTGCTCCGAAAAGTGACATGGGTTTTTTTTCAAGCAGACAATCAGGTGAAGCTCTTGGTTCACGGAGACTGCATTTATTTTTTTTTATCCTCTCTGATTTCTAGTTCCAGTGGCGATTCTCCCGAGAAGACATTTTTTTTAGGCAGATGAGGAAATCCAAAGGTAAACTGAGTGCCAGAGAAAAGCGATTTTTTTAAGAAAACGAGAAGAATTTAGAAGAGCAGTTTTCCAAAGCCGGAGACGTGGGAAACTGTGTGCCAGGCCTGTGTCAGGAAGACGAGGCCTCCGAGGAGTTGAAGGTCCCCATCCAGGAGGTCACAGAAGGAAAGCAGCATCCTGACCGGTTCTGCGTGTTTTTTTAGGTTGTGCAAAATGGTCCAGCTGGGCCCTGCAGGGCCCCCGAGGGGGTTTTTTTTGGGCACTCCCATTCCGGAGAGGATGCCAGGGAGGGAGGTGCCGGGGAGGTGGCCGCAGAGCCCGCCACGGTGGAAGACAATTGAGTCTAGAGCATTGGTGTTTTTTTTTTGATGAGCCGGCAGACCCGAGGCTCTGTGCCGGCATCCGGGTTGGGGGCCAGTTTGCCCCGTTGTCCCGTGTTACCCTTTGGCTTGGCCTGACCTCTTCTTGTGAGTTCACCCGGGCCCTCCGAGGACTGGGTCCCTGACCGTGTTGGTCTCCGCACATTTTTTTGAAATGTGTCGTAATGCCCCAGTGTTAGAATGCAAGAGGTCAAGTTATTTTTTTTTCCGTTTCCCCATCCCACAGGAGGGACTGGGCCAGCCAGTGCCTGTGTCCACCCCCAGGGCCTCCAGGGAGCATTTGAGTCAAATCCATCCTTGGGTCTCCCTTTTTTTTAACCAAGGCTGTCTCTTCCCGCCCCCCCCCCCTTGCTGGGGCACTGTCTTTTTTTGCTGCTCCCTGCAGCTCCTGGGGGATGTGACAACGCCTGGAGGCCATCTTTTTTTCTGCTCCATCTCAACCCCACAGACCTGCTGCTTCGGCAAAGAAAATGACAGTGGGGAGGGGAGGTGTCCCACCTCCCGGCTTTTCTTGAAGTATTCCCATAGATTTTTTTAATCTGGAAATGAAGAGGTAATTCTGTGTGTGCCCCTGCTCTTGCAGATTTTTTTAGAAAGTACTTTGTATTAGTATTAATGCCAAAAACTTTTTGTAAGGGTTTTGTACTCAGCACATCATACGAACACACGTTCTTTCTGTCGTTTCAGGGCAACCTTTTTTTTTGGGAGCCCTTGTTATGTGCTATTTAAATCAGTGTATCATTGGCCAATTTTTTTCCATGTATGCTATCACATGTTTATATTGTCCAGAAAGTATTGTTAAGGCTTTAAGTAGATGGAACTGGCAAACCGTGGAGAGAGAATGCCAATTGTCTTGATCTTTTTTTCAGCCTGTCTCTTCTCTTTCTTGTTTAGTTACTTAAAGCAATAAATCATTTTTTTGTTTAGTGCATTGTGAGTATTGAGTATTGTGTCACAGTGAAAAGTCCTTTTTTTTTGTCCAAAGGCTCGGTTAGTTTCTGACTCCTGGCAGCATGATGATTTTTTTTTTTAAAATGAAGTTCCTGTGGAAATTAGGGCCAGCAAAAGCACACTGCTTTTTTTTTTTTTGTAGAAAGATGGAAAGTGGGATTCAGTGTGCCCTCAGCTAAGGCAGGGCACAACCACCTCCCATGGCCCGGGGTGGGTGGAAGAGACAAATACCGTTTAATTTTTTTACGAAAAGCCCTACATCGGTTTCTTTGCATGTTTCCAGACTTTTTTTTTTTTTTTTTTAAGATTTTATTTTAGGGAGAGAGAGAGAGTGCGCACACACGCTAGTTTTTTTGGGACAGAGAGAGAGAAAATCCAAGCGGACTCCCCACTGAGTGCAGAGCAGGATGCAGGGCTCGATCCCAGGACCCAAGAGGTCATGACCTGAGCCGAAATCATTTTTTTGATGCTTAACCGACTGAGCCATGCAGGCGCCGGTTACCAGACTTTTAAGTAAATTATTCCATGAAGCAAGTCTCTTCCTTGTTTGCAACTTTTGCTAAGATAATTTTTTTTGTACTATATTTTTATAGGGCAGTATTAAAAACCCTTGTAAGCCACATTGTACAGTTGTTTTTCTCTTGATTTTTGAGCAAACTTACCCCATCCAGCCCTAGAGCTTCCCTAAAAAGGTTGAAGGCTCTGTTCAATGAGAAGACAATTATTTAAAATTTTTTTTTTCCACAATTATACTCAAGAATATCTATACAGCATTGATTTAAAAAATTTTTTTTTAGGCTATATCTTAGAGAATCACGGCTTTTTAAAAATAATGCTAGTTAGTTTTTTTTGGGACAAAAACAATGCCCATCTCTTACAACTTTGGAAAGCATTTGGTCCCAGGCTGCAGTCTTCAGGTGGATGGCCTACATCACTCAGCAGTGGGTACATTTTTTTTTTATTAAGTGACATTTATGTTGGTTGCCTGTGTTATGGGAAAAAAAATTATTTTTTTCTGTAGCTAATTTGAATTCCTCTGGGAGTTTGGCCCCAACGCCAGGCTAACAAGTAATTCCTGAAGGTCTTGCTTTTTTCCCACTTCTCCACACCTTCCTGCTTTTTTTTAAAATGTCGGTCTGCCTGAGGTGGTTCTGAAATTGGCTGGCCTTAGAATCACCGGGGGAGCTTTAAACATTCCTGCTTCCTGGGTCTCATCCAAGCCTAGAGTGGTCACTCTAGGGAGTGGCTCAGGCACCAGGTTTGTAAGCCCCCTGGGGATTCCATTTTTTTCCAAGGCTGAGAGCCACTGGCCACAGGGTTGCTATGAGTTGAATCACATTTTTTTCCTTGTGAAATGAAATGCTTTTTCCAAAAGGTAGGTAACCAGGGCCTAACAATCCCAACATCCTACATGTGCATTTCAAGTGGCGGGATTCCTGAAGGAAATTGTATTCTCCTGTGGTGGCCTATAGGGTAAAAGGCCATCGTTGGCACTGACAAGGCCCTGTGACCAGGAGAATCTGTAGAGGCTTGTAATGTTTGGCTCTAGGTCTTTGGGGCTACACCTGTCACAGCAGGTCTGGAAGGAATAGGGAGTTCTGGGTGTGCTCAGCTGACTTCAGTGGGGACCTAAGTGACTTCGATGGTCCTGCCGCCACCACCATGCAGCCCGATGGGGCATTCCGGGGAGTCAGAGGTACTGCCATCAGGGGAGGCCACATCCTTTTTTTGGGGAGGGACTGAACAACTGCTATAGAGGGTTCTGGTCGTTCTTTGGCTTTTTTTTTCGCCTGTGGAAAGAGGTTTTTAGAGAGGGAAGAATAAACTTCCCCCTTTTTTTAAAGAAGTTCTGAAGCTGTGGCTGAATTCTGAGTCTCTGGCTAGGAAATTTTTTTCAAGACCTCCTCACCACCTCCAGAGTGGCTCAGGGGAGGGGACTGCGTGGGGAGGAAATCTTATTCTGCTTCATGAGATGCAGGTGTAGTGCTCTCAAGTGCACCTGGGCACAAGGTCAAGGAATTGACACATGGAGAGCCGGAGGACACCCACATTATTTTTTTGGTGAGCCTGTTTGATACTGGGCTCCATGCAGTAGAAAAAGCCCAGAGTTTTTTTGAATCAGCTGGTTAGGATGCTAACCTGTGCAGGTAATCGCCAGTTAATTTCTTCACATCTCCAAGTACCAGTGTCCGCATGTGTGAAATGGGGCTGACACCCATTTTTTTAGATTTTTGGAAGCCCTCCTAACAGAAATACTTTAATAATATTTACAATTTTTTTATGTATTTGTTAGTGGTTTTTTTAAAAAGATGTTATTTATTTGGAGAGTGCGTGAGCAGGGGAAGGGCAGAGGCAGAAGGAGAGAATCTCCAGCAGACTCCGCGCTGAGCTCAGAGGTCGATGCAGGGCTCCACCCTGCACCCCCGAGATCACGACCTGAGCTTTCGGAAAGCAAGAGTCCGGACACTTAACCGACTGCGCCACGCGGGCGCCCCTATTTGTTAGTGGTTTATAAGGAACAATACGGCCACCGTTAGTCCAGTCCTTGTTTTTTTTTTTTCACATCTCCAAACTGATTATACTTCACTGGAGTTATGCTTGATTTTTTTTGCTTCAAGAAGACACAAGGACGAGACGTTCTAATTCATTTCTTATGAGTTTTTTTTTATCAGTACTTTAAACATATTCATCATGGCTGGTTCGAAACCACAAGTTTTTTTTGGGGCATAGCTCTCGGATGTAGCAGTGCTCATTAAGAGGTTCGTGTTCACCCAAAACTCATCACTCAGGCAACCTATTTCAGTTGTGCCGGGTCTCGCTGACCCTGGGGAGGGGCCCGGGGGGACGGCACGGTCTGGGCTCCAGGCTCCCACCGCAATTTTTTTAAGAGCAGCCGCTGGGAGTAAGATGGACTGGTGCAGGGGTGGATGAGGGGGGCAGGACAAAGGAGGACTGCGTGTCGGCAGCGGCCTGGCGGTGGCTCAGCACTGACTCCCCAGCTGTCCCAGCAGCTCTGGCTCCAACAGCCCCGCGGACGTACTGCAGCCACTGCGTGAGCGCTGCACAGTGGCCCCTGGTGACGCGCACTCTGCCTGCTCTTTTTTTTGCCCAAATGAGTGATGCAGCCTCCCGGCAGGGTCGACCTTTCCTGGACCCGGTCCCCAGAGTTTGGCACCAGGAAGTACATGGACAGTAGATCTAAGGACGAGACCCAACAAGCCTTTGGCTGGGATTTCTGAGGTGACTGGCCAGAGAAGGAGGCATTTTTTTTGGGTACCACAGGTTCCTGTCGAGCGCGATCGTTCCTGTGGCCAGTTATTTTTTTTACCTCAGGTTGCAGAGAGCGGCTCTCCGAACCCGGTAGGTGCTTGCTGCCCCAGCCCCTGCAAGACGGTGGGCTGTGGCGTTTCCCTGCAGAGGTGGCCAGGGCCGTGGCCGGCCTGTGCGTTTCAATAGGGACGAGGGATCAGATGGGTCTCCATATTTTTTTGGAGTTTTTAACTCCTACACCACCGTGCCAGGTGCTGGGAAGACCACAATGAATGGGCCAGACCCAGTCCTGGCTCCCTCGGGGCTCCCAACACACGCTAGGTTTTTTTTCCAGGCGCTGTAACTGGGGGGCTGCGTGGAGAAGGGCCGGATGCTGGGAAGGCCTGGGCAGGGAGTGGGAACGTGCTCAGGGAAGGCTTGCTGAGCCACCAGCTTTTTTTGGAGCAGTCCACGGGGGCAGTGGGCCTCGCAGCTCAGAGCATGGACTCTGGAGCCGCGCTGCCCAGCTGGAATCCTGACTCTGCCACTTACCAGCGTGTGGCCTTTTTTTAATTACTTAACCCCTCTGTGCCTCGGTCACCTTGTCTGTAAAATGGAGTTTTTTTTTGTGAGAATTAAATGAATGTATACAAAGTGCTTCGAGAAGATGCGGCTTTTTTTAAGTGCTATGTAAATGTTAGCAATGGGGAAGAAAGACTGAAAAGGAAGAATTTGAGGGCAGGTTCTGAAGAAAGCTTCTG